CTCTGAAGAAATTGGAAAATAATAATGATAATAATAAATAAAAGTTAAATAAAATAATTATTTAAAAAAAAAAGAGGAGGGGGGGATAAAAGGAAGTTTAAAATTTCCATGCAGGCAACTGTCAAGTCAGAACTGTAAGGGCTTTAAAAGCAATCTTAGGATTTTTCTTGTTATCTGGTAATAGTATTATTGAACAGATGGCAAATTCACACACTAAAGCTGGATTATCAAATCTGGTGAGCTCAGAAGAGGTTAACTATAGAGCAATCTGTAGTATTTAGAAAAATCTCCAGGGTGATTGGGGAGCAGGGACTGAATCATTACTTGGGATTTTGTGTTCACACAAAACTGCAACTTAAAGCCACAGGTTGATTTGTTTGTTTTTAAACTAGAATTCTTTTCTTTCATTAAAAAAAAATAGTCTCCCTTCCCCCAGACAGTCCTTACTTCTAGAGAGGAGGAAAAGAGATTTGTATCAGCTAGCTGCTTGCATGCCATTTCAGGAAAAGCATGTCAGATTCCTGCTTTATCAGGACCCTTCTTCTGGCCTTTCCTCCCTGACTTCGTTGATCCAGAGTGCCAAATTCTGTGTTCAGTGCTGGGACCTTAAAGAAGCAACAGGACAGGATTCCATGGTCCACAGAGTAGGCAGGTAGGTCTAATCCAATAGCACAAACCGGTGTGGTCTCTCTAAGGGAAACATCTCCCAGAGGACAGTGGTTCAGACTTCATCTGTTTAATTGCCTCTGTAGTTTACTTCATTTAAATTAAAAACTAGTTAAACTTCTCTGAATTTTTCCTGGTCTTAGAGAGCAGCTCTTTGAGCTAAATGCGTATCTTGGCCAAATTCGTCCGCAGACTCCCTGTACCTCCAACAGAGCCATGTATTTTCTGAGCAACAGTAAAGACAGCTTTACTGTGTCTTCTCTGCAGGAGAATCTGACTTCTTTATTTGTTCTTAGGTTTCTTTGCTTTCTAACATTTCCATCAGGTTGTGTGTTTTCTCTTAAAACTTATGGTCATATGATTTCTCTTAAAATGATAGGTAATTATATGAAAACACGTCATCATCCGTAATCTTGGCCCCTACTAATGACCATATTACTCTCTTCTCAGTGCTTACTTGATGTAACCCTTTTATGTGTCCTAGTATCACATTGTCTGATGTGTTTTCTATGGTGAAACACTTCTAGTAATGTGCTTACGCTCCTCCTTTAAAACATATGCATTTACTAGTGTGTGTGTGCACGTGCATTTGTCAGACGACATATGCCCTCACCAGAGAGGAAAACGGAGAAGGCACCTTCCAGTGGGGAAGTCAGGCTGCAATCCCTTCTCCTTCATTTCTCCTCCTGTTGGGACTTGGAGTATGCACACACGAACCTGGCATGTGATTGAAACTACACAGTCAGCCATGCAGCCAGTCCTGTGCGCGTGTTTTCTGTTTATTCCTCCATGAGTGAGTGGCATGTGGTTGGAGGGGACTTGTATCTTGGTAAAAGGAACTATTTAGCTATGCAGGGCTTTCACTGAGAACAAGCTCAGTACCACCAGACAGCCATTCTGTAAAACCCTCTGAATTCATCAAACCTTCAAAGGACACGTCGTAAGCCTTTCTCTTATGGTAGGCATTGTGAATGCAGGGAATCAGTGCAAAATGTTTCTGCTCTCAAGAAGGAGCAAGTATTTAATTATAATTCATGCTAACTGTATTCTAATAGATGTTGAAGACCATGTGCTCCGAGGTCAACCTGCTTGAGCTTACTTCCTGGCTCCCCTGTTGACTAGCTGTATGGCCTTAGGCCAGTACCTAATCTTCCTGTTCCGTGGTTTTCTTTCCTGACTACAGTATTCCCTTATTACAACTACTTACCTCACAGGGTTGTTCTGAGAATTCATTAAACACTGCCAGTGAGTACTAAGTGCTTGCCTCTTCGGAATGCGGGAAGTGACGGAATCCCGTGAGGAGGGAAGGTTTCCAGGAAGTGGCTAGATAACATTTGAGCTGTCTCTTGGAGAGTGTGTTGAAATTGGGCCAGCATATAAGTTAATGGGGGCTGGACTTAGGATGCGAACTTGAAGTGGAGCTAGAGGCAGCAGGGTGGAGCAGTAGGTGAGGCAGGGACAGGCCATATAGTTAGTATCATTTTGAATTATATGTAGGAAATGAACACCATACTCTTCTTGGCTTTTCATATGTCTAGCTCTGGTACTCTTATAGACAAAAGAAAATAATGATTATTTATTTTATGTGTTTGTTAATTTATTTCTCTGATGAGCGAGAGAGACAGGGATAGAGTGAGCGAGAGCACCCCTAACAGAGTCTCAGTGCCGTGATCCAACCCCAGACCTGAGCCAGCCCTGGATCATGAGTAAACACATACCTAACATGCTCAGGAAGGGCTCAGGGCTTGAACAGGGAAACTCTACATGTGGGATTGCCTTGCAGACCAGTGTATGTTACTGCTGGGCCACTGTCTGGCCCCTGATTTTATATCAGTTTCAAAAATACCTTCCCAACTGCCCACTTGCCAGACCCCAAAGATTTTCTTGAAAACAAAACTAAAAAATAGAAATGAGCCTTGAAATAAGGCAAGATGAGTAGAAAGAGACTTTGATTTAGATAAATATGAATGCTTTTACCAGTGAGACTGGATTTCAGATAGCTTCTAGACCTTACGATGAGAGTTAGGGTCGTTGTTAGTCTAGCTAGCCTCTTCTCACTTGGTTCTGAACAGGCCACCCAGTCCTCTTTCCTAGCAGGGTTGCCTTTTCATTGAACTTTAGAGAACACCTGCCATAGGCAGGCTCTCTTACCAAGTTACATCAGCTTTGGATACATGCACATCTCCCACCTTCTTTATGAGGTAGGTAGGTCTAGTTGAACCCAACATCTGCTATAAAAGGATGAAACAAGAATTCCATGGTATTTAGCTGGCTTTTTTTGTTTGTTTGTTTTTTTGAGAGGTTTTTCCTATAGGGCACGTGCGCTCACCAGACAGAAAGCGAGAAATCACCCCCCAGGAGGCATGGCCATGCCGCAATCCTCTCGGGATCTTGGGCACACACACACACATGCGCCTGGAGGGAGTTTTAAGCCGCTAGGTCCAGGACTCGAACCGTAGTTGACTACATGGGAGTTCAGCGACATAGCCATTACACTAACTGCTGGTCCCTTTAGTTGGCTTTTTTAATCCTATTTATTTTCATTACAAAAATAAATCGATAAAATAAATAAATAAATTTTTAAAATTTGTGGAACCAGCAGATGGGCGTAATGGTTATGTTGCCGGACTTTTATATAGTCAACCGTGGTTTGAGTCTTTGACCCTGCAGCTTAAAACTCAAACCAGCCATGTGTGTGCATGTGCCTAAAATCCTGAGAGGGGATTGGAGAAGGGATTGTGATGTGGCTATCCCCCTGGGGGCTGATTTCTCGCTTTTTGCCTCTCTGTCTCTCTTTGTCTCTCCAGTGAGCACATGTGCCCTATAGCAAAAATCTGTCTTTAAAAATAAAAAAAAATTGTTCCAGGGCACGTGTACTTGCCAGAGAGAGAGAATGTGAGAAATCACCCCCTGCCCCCAGGGAAATGGCCATGCCATGATACCTTCTTTTCCATTCTGTCAGGATTTTGGGCATGCACGCACACACACACACACACACACACACACACAACAGACACACACCCCTCATGTGTTTTTCAAGCTGCTGGGTATGGGACTCTTACTGTGCAGTCAGCCATGTGGGATCCGTTGCCTTAACCATAACACCACTGGCTGGCCCCAGGGAAACAGTTCTAATGTGATTGCTTCTCTTTTTCTTTTAAAACTTGGAAGCATGCACTAATGCACCTTTGCATTGCAGCTATAACACTGTGTAAAATATCATCAGGAAGCCAGTGGCATCTTTATAACAACCATTAAGTTATATGAAGTGTTAGTCTAGCAACCAGTTCTGGGCACAGTGTCTCAATTCAGGCTTGTAGCAGCTGTGCAGGCACAACTCAGCTGTGCACTGGGAAACTTTGGACGAATTCCTCCCTTCATCAGTTCGATTTGAAAGTTACCTGTTTTCTTACATTTTGCATCAGATTTGGGGTCTGCCAGTTCTTTCCCCTTACGCTGTTTTTAATGCACTATTTTATAAAATTTCATAGCTAAGAAATGAAGGATTATAACGTTTTCTGGTATTTTTTCTTTATAATAAAAGTAGTTCAGCGTCTGAGTATATTAAGAAAATGGTTGATGGAAGCAGTCTTGTTACTAAAGTAAACCTTTCTATAAATAAATGCAGAAACATCTGTGAAGGGCATAGTCTGAATGTGGTAGACATAGGAATTACGTCAATTCCAGTCTCGTGGCCAAGATTTCTTCCTTAGGCTTTCTTTATAACTAATGTCATGGCAGAGTTTTGCATTCCCACAGCATTAGGCAATAAAATATCCAAAAGAAATGGTGCCAGTTACCTACCTCCTTAGGGTAGCCAGGGGTAGTCCGTAATCTGTCCCTACCCAAGAAGAGCGTGACTTGCTTTTGTTTTTGCTGTTTAGCACTGAAAATCTGAGATCTCTTCTTTAACTTCCCTTTTAGTCCTGGTTTTAGGCATTTTTCCAAAGAGTCTAACTGCTAACCGCTTTTAAGAAATTATGTGGTATTACAGGCACTTTGGTCAGTCGAGAAAGAAGGCACCAAATCTTTCCTAGAACTCCAGGGGCCCATCAAATGACCTTTTCTAGAAACAACTGAAATTCTTTTTCAAAGGCATAAAAATGCTAGTTGAAACCAAACAGAAAACAAATCCAACCCACAGGTCCTGCCGTTCAAATGACTAAGGTAGGGAGAATGGAAGGAAAATTCTTATTGGGGAAACAAAAACAAAAACTATTCTGAAGCTATGAGCTCGTGGGTAGCGCTTCGATGGTGGTAAGTTAAAATGAGAGTGATGTGGCGTTTTTACAGTAAAGCTTAGCCAGCACTGTAAGAACACTGTACCTTTGCAGGTGCCTGAGCAGCTCCTCCTAGAATACCTGGCTGGTGCTCCGCCCTTCTTCAAGACTACCTCATCCTCACTCAGCTCCGGCTCGGAGGCTCCAGTGTGGAAGGTAAGTCAGAAGATGTGCACTCTGTGTGTGCCTCCAAGAAGAGCATCGTCTCGGTGACTTTTTAAAAAAGCTTTTTAAAGTTTTAGAAGACTTTCCTAGGTTGTTAACTAGTGAACTCAAGAATCATCATTTGTAAACTGTTTATTTAGAGAAATACAAAGTATAGTTAGTGATAGTATCTTTTGTCACTTAATGTAATTTCTAGATTCAAATTTAAGTTGACACTAAAAGGATCCTAATCATGCTGTAGATTTCACATTTGGGGTCTGAAGCAAAATTTTACAAAATGGTATATCACCACTCTTGAGCTTCTGAGCACTATTCTACTAATGCATTAAATTGGTAGTCTCTTATCACAGAGAAGTATTTCTAACAGTCAAGATTAGAACGTTTTGATAACTGTTTTTTGTTTGCTGGCTTTACTTTTCTCCATAGTAATCCTGGAAGTCTAAAATATCCTATAGTTTGAGCTTCCATTTCTTTTATGCCTATAATTGGTTTCATTAAGTAAAAGGAGTCACAAAAGCTCTTTAGATGAGGATACACAGCTAAATTATGTTTCAGTTTCTGTTAGTGTGCTTGCTGTGTGTTACCTCTTGTCTCTTGAATGTTAAAGTGACTTACTGGTTCCAGAAGGGAAAATAATTTGACCTTGTTTGTAGTAAGTGAATCACTTATGAATAAAGTATTCACATTTTACAGGTGAATAAACTCTGTAAGGGCACCAGCCAGAGTGCTGTCTCATAAATTTCTTAGTTCCTAATTTACAGAAGTTATGTGCTGGCATTTTTGACTAGATGATGGATCTCAAAGATCTCCCATAAACTAATTTTTTCCTTGAAATAAAAAGTGTTACCTTGGAACCTTCTAGTAATTGCTGGATATGTGGAGGGCCTGGACTCCACAAGTCCATATTCTCACTGGTTTACTTGTTCTGCTAGACCCCGCTACATTGCATTAGCCACAACTGCGACTGAAGATCACAAGTGTTGAGAGTAAAGGACAGCCTGATTCTAGTAAGGCAATTCTGTTACATCAGGGTATCTTAGTTTTCTGCTGCTATAACAGAATACCATAGACTCGGTAATTTATGAAGGAAAGTTTATTTGCCTCAAGGTTCTGGAGGTTGGGAAGTCCAAGAACTGAGGAGCCACATCTGGTGATGCCACTCCTGCTGTTTCATAATATGGCACAAGGCGTCATATGGTGAGTGAGGCTGCAAGACAGAGAAAATGAGCCAGCTTATCCTTTTATCAGGAGTTTGCTCCCATGATAGCAGCATTAATCCATTTGTGAGGGCATGACCCATCACCTTCTGTAGACCCCGTTCCCAATATTGTTATATGGGCAATTAAATTTCAGTGCGATTTTTGGAGAGGACATTAAGATCATAGAGCCTTGTGAGCTGAAAAAGTCCTATTCAAGCCCTCTTTGTAATGCCCTACAATTCGTAAATCAAAAAGAAAAGCATAAGGAAAAGAAATGTACTGTGTAACTCAATGAACAAATCTGATGAGATAAATCACCTAAGTTTTAGTTTTAGCTTCTTTTACTAAAGATGAAGCTGTGGTGTACAGCTTTCCTTTATACATGAATTATTTTCTATTTAGGAGGATTTCTATGTAAGACATAGCAAGAGGAACTATGGTTCGGGTTTGGTGTTTAGGGATTGTGTGCATCTGAGTTTGAATGTTTTACTTTGTTTCTCTCAGTCACTACTGCCTACCCATTAATACAGCTGGGGATTGTATGAGTTGATGGGATTTTGCTGTTGAGTTTTTATTTTTTGCTGTTTCTTCCCAAATATTCAATAGGTTCAAAATTCAAAGCCTTTGAATTCTTGATTTACAGCACAAAGAGACTCCTTTAGATTTTCCTTTTTTAAAATGAAGTTTTGTTTGTCTTAAATAACGTCTTCATCCACGACTAGGGTACAGCTATACATGAAAATTAGAGAACTTTTTTCTTGACTAATGAAGTAAGCTAGCTTACAGCAGAGTGACTTCCCTAAGCCTTTCTATATGAAGCATCAAATCTGAGTGACTTTTTTGTTTGTTTGTTTTTTCCCCAAGGGTACACTGGCTAGCCGGAAAGAGACAGAAGGAAAGTAAGAGTGCACCCCCATGAGGCATCATCACACCACAACCCCTTCTCTTCTCCATTGCGCTCCCTCTTTGGGAATTTATGTACAAAGACTCAGTGCACCCATCATGTTTTTCAAGCAGCCAGGTCTAGAACTTGAACTGCACAGTCAACCATGTGAGATAGAGCCACCACACCACCAACTGGCCCAAAGCATCTCATTTTAGTCATGATAAGATTTATTTATTTATTTATTTATTTGGAGAGATTTTCGCTATAGGGCGCGTGCACTCGCCAGACAGACAGAGAGAGACATAGAGACAGAAAGCGAGAAATCATCCCCCAGGGGGGATGGTCACGCCGCAATCCCTTCTCCCTCATTCTCCTCTTGGGATCTTGGGCACGCACGCACACGCACCCGGTGTGAGTTTTAAGCCACTGGGTCCAGGACGCGAACCGCGGTCGACTACGTGGGAGTCCAGCGACATAGCCATTACGCTAACTGCTGGTTCCCAGTCATGATAAGTTTTGATAGACAAAATCAGCTTTGAAGTCTCGGCATTGCTATATGTAACACTGTCTTAAAAATTTTCCCCATGAAAGTACTTTAAATTTTTAATGTCTTACAGTGAGATTGCCTTCACTAAATGACATTTTCTTAAAATGATGCAATTTCTCTTGAGCCAGTTTTTTTTTTTTTTTTGGAGAGATTTTCACTGTAGGGCGCGTGCGCTCGCCAGACAGACAGAGAGAGACATAGAGACAGAAAGCGAGAAATCACCCCCCAGGGGGGATGGTCACGCCGCAATCCCCTCTCCTCCATTCTCCTCTCGGGATCTTGGGCACGCACGCACACGCGCCCGGCGTGAGTTCCAAGCCACCGGGTCCGGGACACGAACCGTGGTCGACTACGTGGGAGTCCAACGACATAGCCATTACACTAACTGCTGGTTCCCTTGAGCCAGTTTTTTTTAGACAATTGATAACAGAGAATAATTTATGCTTTGTTTATCACAAGGCACTTTTGTTAGGTTTGTTCATTTGGAGCTGTGTAAAAAAACAAACTTTAAGGCTAATATTGTTTATAAAAAGACAGATTGAGTAAAAAGGAATAAATTTTACTGATTATTTATTTGACTTCTCTTTCAGTTCGAAATAGGATACAGTCTTCTTCCAGCTCCTTTTTCTGGTCCCTTCTTGTAGAAACCTTAGTGAGGGGAAATAGTGATAGTGGACTTAGCTCCAAATCTCCTTTCATAACTGCCTTACAAATAATTTCCTATAGTTTCAGGAATGAAATGTATGGTGGTAATATACTGTGTCCCTGGTAATGGGGAGTTGTATCAGAATGCTGTCACCACTTCAGATTTTAAGGGGTATGTGTGTGTAGGTTAGGTTTTTCTGCCCCATGTAGATTTATTATATGTTTTATATGCTTGTACTTGGTCTTAAGGTTTATTTAGATGGGGCTATTTCTGAGTAAAACTTGTAAAGAGGTGTTTACTGTTGTTATAGATAATTTGTGCATACAGATTTTATAAGGCTTAAAATTATATTGCAGAGAAAACAACTTGATAGAAAGAAGGGGGGACATTTTCTGTAATTTAAGTTGTCATAGTAACCTGCATCAAGACTTGTACTTGGAATCTAGGCCTGAAGAATTTCAGGGACAATAAACATTCCAGTTGCATTCATCATCCTTTTTTTTGGGAGGGGGGAGGCCGATAAAAGAACCATCCATTGTGACCTAATTTATTTCTGTTTTTAGAAAATAGGGTAGCAGTTTGCATATTTTAGCACTTAAAAACTTCTGTAGAAAAGTAAAAATGAAAAGTTCAGCCATTTATATTTGAGAATAACATTTTATAATGCTATATCACAATCTATTGATAATTATTTCAGATTTCAGGATAGCTTGGATATGATGGACACTTAATGAAATATAAGAGAGATAGGATTTGATGGGAATAGAGGAAATTACCATAGCCACTTGTCCTGCAAACCTAAAGTAAGAGTAATGAAATCTAGTTTTCGTGGAGCTTTCACTTGGGAATGCTATAATTTTTCTAATATTAACTTGTTAATATTTTTACTTTGACAGCTTTATTAGATACAAATGAACTTTAGTGCAAAAAAGGACAAAGCGGCTAGCCAGTGGGGTGGCGGTGAAGGCAGCTGGATCCCACATGACTGGCTGTGTAGTTCAAGTCTCGGACTCAGCAGCTTGAGAAACACACTAGACACATGTGTGTGCATGCCCAAGATCCCTTGAGGAGGAAGAAATTCTAGGAGAAGGGATTGCACAGTGACCATTCCCATGGAGGGTGCTTTCTCATCCCACCTCATCCTCTCCTTGGCTGCCCTCTGCAAATTGTTTTAGAAGAAAGAGACCAAGGTATCATTTTTAGTGGAAGAATTAAGTTTTCTTTGAGAAACTTGTATAGACATTATTTTTAGATATCCTATCTTTCACAAAGAATAGTAGGATGTTGTTTTTAAAGGCGTTTTTTTTTTTGAGAGGGTTTTTTTTTCACTATAGGGCGCGTGCGCTCGCCAGACAGAGAGAGACATAGAGACAGAAAGCGAGAAATCACCCCCCAGGGGGGATGGTCAAGCCGCAATCCCTTCTCCTCCATTCTCCTCTCGGGATCTTGGGCACGCACGCACACGCGCCCGGCGTGAGTTTTAAGCCACCGGGTTGGGGACACGAACCGCGGTCGACTACGTGGGAGTCCAGCGACATAGCCATTACGCTAACTGCTGGTTTCCTTTAAAGGCAATTTTACAATTAGTTTCTCTCTTGCCTTTTAAGATACTAAAGATCATCTTTGAGTTAAAACATTCTTCTTAAGCATGGAACATTAGGAAAAATAAGGAAATAAGCATATATGTACATACTTTGCCCATTCATTTTTAGG